ATTGTTCACCTCACTGCAAGATATAGAAAAGTCAAAAGAATAAGATGCTCATGTCCTAAAGAATGTCCATTTATGAATATCAAATAATTTATAAAATTTTCCTGACACAGACCAAATCTTCACTTATGTGTTCATCCCGCATCCTCCCAAATCTCCACTATTTGTTCTTGATCCATCTCCACTATCTCCTTTCCATTATTATTACCAACACACACAGTTTGTCCTAGAAACTTTTTATTCCCATCTCTCTCCTCAACTCTCCGCCTTTCACTGTCCCCACCCACCTCTGCCTTCATAACACCAACTACTCCTTTCACTTCATCACATCACACTCATCACTACCAACTCAGCCCCAAGAACTCATCCACAAACATCCCACAACACCCAGCCAGAAGTATAAACCTGAGAAGATCCATGTTGTCATGCTCCCAACACCAAAGAGTTTTACTATACTATCTTCATTCCATATCACATTATAAGAGTAAATACCAACAAATGCAGACGAAAACTGATGAGAAACTGCAGGAGTCGAACTTTCAAGCAACATACTGTACAGCAGAGCAACAAGCCTTACACTCAGCCAGGAATTAAACATAGTTATCACCCGTCGACTGAGATATAGCCACGGCGATTCTGGGAGGTGGTTACCTGTATCAGGGAGGGCAAACTGACAGCCGGTTAATTTTGTTCGTAATATTAATTACAGAAAGACTGATGTGCTACTAAGATGTCCTGATAACTTTTGCAGATGATCTTGCTGGTGTATTACGTGGGGCGTCAAAAGGTAACATAAGTTGGGCGTCTTTATAGATCAGCTAGTTTAGCTTAGCCCTGAAGCCCAAATACTGCACAGTAACATCGAACACTTAACTGGCGAATGACGGAGACAAGCAAACTTCTTGCACTGCTTTCCTCACCATTTGTATGGATTGGTCGCCCATGTAAATGGAATTTTGTATCTGTAAATAATTAATAAAATTAAGGAAAACACTCTTGGTAGTCTAATTCTCACAATAAGTTAAAAAGTTGTTAGGAAACAGAATGCTTCTTCATTATCTCTACTTTCAAGTTTTTCATTATTGTCTAATTGCTTCAGACAATCAATGCACATGTACGCCAAGAATTGTTTTTTTGACGTAGCTATTCATATTTGTCTTTAGGAATAAAAGTATTTTTGACACTCGTCTCTTCTCTCTCTCTCTCTGTGTTCGTCTCTTTGAATCTAATGCCTCTTGTTCGTATATCTATTTATTTATTCACCACACTCCTTTGTATCGTGTTATACTCATATAGCTATATGGTCACATCAAACATATTACCATGAGAAATGAACAGACAACAACCATCACTTAATGTCTCGTCGTATAATGTGTGAATCTTTATTTCCACGTCTCCAGGCAACACCAACACCATTTTAATACCAAGACAAAGACATTAACACTTTAATTCTTAAGTTTTAACATACACACAAACACACAGACACACACACACCACATAGTGATTTAACTATTTATTCAGTGTTCACATACGAGTTATAACGAGTATTTCTAGGTAGTAGGTATTAGGCAGCTACCAAACAGGGAGGTACTACCGCCTGGGAAGATATTGGAAGCATAATATGTTGTCTATGGTAGACCCTGCTGCCATATGGCATCACAAAAATTGTGACCAAGTCTCAGGTTGCTGATCTGTCTTTCTGCCTCATTTACAGGGTCTCACTTGTTCCTCTTACTATTGACAACACACCATATATATATATATATATATATATATATATATATATTTCATTAGCCCAATAAAGCACGCGGACTTCTACATACAATCAACACCTCAACCCGCCAGGATTCGAACCCACGGCCCACGAGCCCTTGACTGTGACCGGGGAACGCTAACCGCTGGACCACCAGGATACTACAAGCAATCGTAGACTTTGTTATATTTCACACAAAGCCTGTTCAACGAGCTTCACGAGGTTCACGGCGCCATAAGCTCGTTGAACAGGCTTTGTGTGAAATATAACAAAGTCTAGGACTGCTTTCAGAATCCTGGTGGTCCAACGATTTTCCCGTGCAATCAATGGAGTTCAGCGGGATGATATAATATATATATATATATTGTTTCTCACTTTTGATATTTTTTTTAATTTTTGTATTTCTTTATTATTATTATTATTATTATTATTATTATTATTATTATTATTATTATTATTATTACCCCCCAGGCCCTGATGTGGGTCAGTGACCTGTGCCCGGGTTGGCTAATCCCGTAAAAAAAAAAAAAAATCTAGGGTAATGGGAACTAAGTATAGCTTTGTGATACAGACTCATAAATGACCTAAGGAATCTGTTCACTACATAGTACATCACAAGAGAAATATTTGGGTAAGATAATTTAAACTCGTCTCTAAGGTGGGGTTGAGTGTACGGTACCTATTGTAGACTACAGAGATTGCTACCTTGGTTGTTATGGTAGCTGCTCCAAATATTAGCCAATGAAAGCTTCTTTCGCTGAACATTCAGCCAATAAGCACCACTGTCGACCGTATAAAAGGGGCGGCTCTTCCTTTGCGTTTTCAGTGTGCTGGATTCCACCGAAACAACTCCATTGTTCATAGTAAGTTTTGTTGATATTTTACTTTTTTTTTTTAGGGGGGCACTGCTCATGCCCTAATTTTGCCTTGTCCTGCTTTATAGTAAACCTAATACGCCAAATCTTTAATCTTCCTTCAGATGAAGACAATAATCCTCTTCGTGTTAACGACTGCCGTCTGGGCCGAGGAGTTATACGTCAAGAATGAGGGAACACCTGTTATTTTTGGTGTGGGAAGTGATGGCGACCATATCATGGTTAGATCACCGGGTGTGTTGAGGTCTACAAGCTCTCAAAGCCCTTCAGGCCAGACTCCACAGGGCCGACGTCAAGGGCAATTTTTCACTTCGGGCCAGCCTTCCTCTGGCCAACGTCTAGGACAAGTCTTTAGGAGCCTTCCCCTGGCCAACGTCTAGGACAATTTTTCAAGTCAAAGTAAACCAACTCGTTTCTTATCTCAACAGACCATCTTGCCACAGAATCGGTTTTGTGATCATGCTCGCAGACCTATCGTAAGTTCTACAGTATGCACTTGGTAATTTAAGTTAATAAATTAACCCTCCTGACTACGTATGACGATATGCTGCTGACTATTTGATAATACTGTATTACTGTAATGTATTTTTGAAATCTTAAATTGTACGATAGTTTCCTCCTAATTGAAGATCACGAGCCCTTCAGGGTTCTCAAATATACTTTTTTATAACTATAAAGTAAGATCTTGCCTTCATGAACTGCGCATCTCTTCCTTCTACAGGTCGACGAGGTGTTCCAGGGTAGGGCATACCACTTCTCCTGGTGCCATAATGGCGGCCGATCCTACACATGGTACGATGCCAGCCATCATTGTCAGAGGCTGGGCAACGGCTTCCAGGCCGTTAGTATAGAGCACCCGAACGAAGACAACTTCGTGGCTGGAGTTCTTAGAACATGTGAGTGTTGCCTCAACTGTTATCGTGGGATTTCTGCTATTGAAATGGTAACTGAATATGCTTTCGATCGTTTTCTAAAATTATTTCTTCAGTTAACAAACATTGGTATCGTTTAAAATATATTTTTACAGACCAAATGAGGGACATCTGGACAAGCGGCACTAAGTTGGGCTCTTACCAGTGGTACTGGGAGACGGGTGTCTCCACTGGTTACACAAACTGGTCTAACACCGGCAGGTTAGTCGGTACCCTTCGATACACACACAAACCATATTTATTTAATATTTGCCTGATGGAAATAAACTTTTTTGTGTTAAGACTTCTCTAGTTCCTATATTTATTTTACATAAAATTAGCTTGAGTCCCTTTGAACTTGTTAACAGAAGCTGAAGTTCTGTATCCATGGCTCGTGTATATTGACCATCTAACTTTTTTCTTTACTTGGCCAGACTTGGAAGAAGTCAACCAGACAACGCAGACGGTAACGAGCAGTGCCTGGCTGTGGTGAACAGCCTAGGCGTCGGGTGGCACGACTCGCGCTGCAACACTCTCCGACCTGTAATCTGTGAGACCGAGGCGTTCTACAGGCAGTAATTCTGTAACGCAATATTAATAGCCTTCGTAATACAAGGTCTAGATAAATTGTATACATATGTTTAATTTTTAATAAAGTCTTGCCTCTCATTTGCCCGTTTCTTTTCATGACTTCTACAGTGTACGTAATACTTCCCTGAAAATGAATCCCTCCGAAGCAACTTTGACTTGGTGATTAAACATTACAGCTTACGAAGGTGTAAGTGCATCTATTATAACGCGGGAACATGAGGTTTAACGGAACTAATTTAGGCCTTAAATATACGTAAGAATCTAATTCCCATTGACCAACTAATAAATTCAATGTTTCCATAAATGTGCATCCCTGAAGCACATCATTGACAATCGGGGGGGGCCCCCCCCCCCCAAATCGCTAGGGAAGATTTGCTCAGCCAGTTACCCTGTATCTGAAAACTAACTACATAACCCCTCATAAGGACCTCTTTCAATATGACTCTAATTAACTGCTGTTTGGTGAGCGTATCTTGGCACCACAACATGCGGTATAAAAAAAAATATTATGCCACCAGGATACTGTTAAATATATCCAGAGCTTTCTTAACGATAAAGCTGACCACGAGCAGGTTCCCATAAAGCACGAGTAAACACAAAGATTCTACAAGCATCTGCCCGAAGCACAAAAACACCAAGCCATGCATTCTACCGCATCACAACAAGCCTTCATCCTCGCCCCGGACGGTATAACCGATGACGTTCACTGGGCAAAACTCGTAGAGGCTGCCCAGGAACACAGAACACACAACCCCCCGAGAAATTTGGCAAAGGATCGCCAAGCTGAGAGGAACAGCAAAACCCCCCTTTGATTACCTACTAGTAAACGGTAGGAAAATCAATGAGCCAGCTGACGTAGCACAAACACTTTAAACAACACTGGGACACATTTTCCACCCACACCCCCCCTACACAACAAAGGCACATCTTAAACCACAAACATCACCACACACAGGCAAACACTTCACGACAGAACAACTGACAACACAATAGATACCTCAACACTTACACGGAACCACATCCTCACTCCAACAGAAGTCAAACAAGCACTAGACAGAATTAAAAAGAAAACAGGCGACAGCAATATAGGTTAAGCAATCCTGAAGCACCTGCCCCCAGAAACAGTCAGTCATTACATACCTCTACAACACCCAACTGGCTACAGGATACTTCCCAAAACTCTTAGACAGCCACAGCCATCATGATACCTAAACCAAACAAAAACCCAACAGATCCACAAAACTAGACAGATCAGCATACTAGAAGTCTAAGGCAAAATATTTGAGACTATACAACACCCGCCTCAGATACCACCTTGAAGATGAACAACTACTGTCCTACAAGCAGTTCGAGTACACTTTAACCCTAATATAATGACAAATCATCTAGATACAAGACAGCACTTAAAAGACACAGTTAAAATGATGGATTAAAGTATAAGATATGCACCAATTTAACTTCCCCAAAATCACAACACAGTAACTTTCCTAACAGACAGAAAAATGTGGATAAAATCATGTCCTGACCACTTCTCACACTGCAAGCAGGAGTCCCACAAGGATCAGTCCTGTCCCCAACACTATACATTCTTTACACAAACGACTTACCGACCCCTTATACATCGATTCTGAATACAGTAACGATAAACTAGTCAGAACTCCCACTAGCCTTGATCACCCAACAGACAAAGCAGAGCTAGAACAGTTACACAATGGAACCCAATGGCAAATACAAAACCCATAACCAATTTCAAACAAAAGACGCCAACCACGTCACATTACTCCAAACCCCTACATCGACTACCCTTCACCCATAACTGTCAAACGAACAAACACAACCTAGGAGTCACATTCAACGACACCCTCACCATGACACCACACCAAAACGAAGGCTTCGATCGCAAACAAAACACTCGGGAATATATATTCAGAACCCATCAATCAAAACCAAAACACACCGATTCAAAGACCTCTTACGACCACTATTGACTTGTGCACCTAACACATCCAGCTAGCAG